AAAATGCAACAGTTAAATAAAACAAAACCTTACCTAAGCCTCAAACGTATCTCAAGCTTGGGGAAGGAGGAGGAGAGGGCAAGTCTCCATGTCATGCCACATCATGTGGCACCTTGCAGAGGTTTTGGCTGCTTTGCCTCTCACCAAAGCTTGCGAAAGCACCTGGCTCAGGCTGGAGACCGGCTGGGCAGTTGGCAGCAGCCCCGACACCGTGCAAAGCCACTGCAACTACTGCATCCGCAGGCAGCGGGTGGTCCTGCTGCACAGGGAGCTGACAGGAAAGGCACATGTGGAGTTGATCAAAATATTTCTAACAAAACCTTTTCCCTGAATCAAATTACTTTTTTTTTTTTTTTTTTTAAAGAACAGATAGTTTTATGGGAAATGTCATGTTTTCAGGGAGTCATACAAACGTAGCCTGAGAAGCCCAAGATTTCCAGAGAAATGTTGCTGGTTCTTGCCAAAACTATGAACTGAAGCTATCAGATTTCTGTTAAAAAAATAAGAAGTAGTAAAAAAGCTCCCAAATTTAAAAGGAAATAAGATTTTTTTGTTGTTGTTTTTGTAACAAAATTTCATGGAGGGAGGAACAAGAGGGAAGTGCTTCTGACTAGCTAGCAGGAAGCACCTATGAGCATGTGTATTGGTCACTCATGCAACAAGTATTTCCAGCTAAGTGAGCTATTCTCTAACCAGCAGGAGCTGGAAGAAGCCTGCTGGTCACAGATGATACACGTGTAAGACAGAAGTACAACCATGTTGGAAATCCATGAAACGGTTGCTCCAGGTAGGCTGATAAGCATGCAAAGCCATGAAATTTAGGCTGTGCACTCCTTGGGTAGAGACAACCGTGTACGGCACCTTGCACAATATTACCAGTTCAAGTTTAGGAACTGTGTTGCATGATATATGGCAGTAATGATTAATGATGATAGTAACAATATTAATGGTTAAAAAGATCCTGCTTATCCTTCTGCATGTTCCCTGTCAGCAAAATTCTTGACTTAAGTTTCATTTCCTTAATAGAGGAGTAATTAATAACCCAAGAGACAACTTAATAGTGTACCAATTACAGTACAATAGAAAGTATAATGAAAATAGACCCGAATTAAAGCTTGCTAAGTTCAGTTTACCATCTCTTCGCTCTCATGCAGCATTTGCTATAGCAAGCTTAAAAGTTCAGATCCATTTTATTTCTGCCTGTCCGCAGGTTTACTAACTCTGAATTAATGCCGCTCCTTCCGCAGCCCAAACATAGAAGAACTCTGCAAACAGCTGAAAGAAATGATAAGGACTCCAGGTGACATAGATCACGTACTGTACACAGAATTACTTTCCCCAGAGTGAGCCCATGTAGCAGCGTTTTGTGACATTCATCATTAAAGTTCAGTCCTTGGAGTGCTGCCATTGTGGTCATGCGCAGCCGACTCTCTGTTGATAGAGCAGAGCTTATAACCAAAGGCCATCCCTCCCGAGGGCAGCGCAAAAGTGATTTGAATAACAGGCCTCGGGAAAGGCGGTTTTCTATCCTTAGCTGGTTTTATTTCAAACAGTCTTTCAAGGGCTGCTAGTAGGCCAATCAGTTTAAGTGCGTGACTGTTTATAGCAACAAAACTGTGAAGTCTCCAGAAACTAGAAACCAGTGAAATGTGGAAAAAGAGTTGCCTTCTTGCCAAAACAAAATTCCTTGTGAAATATAGTGTTGGATGAAAGACAAAGTATTTTGTAGAAACGCAGAACTTGCACAAATCTTGTCACGAAGGCTTTGGGGGCTGCTGGGTGGCAGGCTTTCTGGTGTCCTCGGCCACCCTGGCTGAGCACAGCCAAGGCTGGACCAGCCTCCTGTCCCTTCCTCTGGCTTCTCTACAGACATACCCTCCCAGTTCTGATTTATTCCCCACGTGAGGACACACATCGCAGGGCTGCTCAGTGAGTGACTGGGGAGCCCCTGCTGCTCCAGGCGATGCCTCCTCAGCAACTCCCAGCAGCAACACAGCGAGAGGACAAGCGACGCAGTAATTGTGAAGTGTGCCGGGCAATTTGTACCTGCCACAGTTGCTCTCGAAGGATTAAAGCTCACTTCATTTCCAAAGCCTGCAGCAGGCCTGACTACTTCAAGCTATCAGACAGGATAGGGATACAGTAAAGCATGGAGCAGCTTCAAGTGGTGCAATTTCATTCTGCATACTCGTCCTTTGGGTTCTGGGGTCTTTGCCTAAAGACTCTTCCACACCCCACTTAATTAAGAGAAAGTGCCAAATACCAGAGAAATGGCATTTCCTAGCAATTGTGATAAACAAAGTATATAACCAGCTACTTTAAAAGCAGACTTTGAAATGCCACTGGCTTGCTTCCTTCTGAGCACATTCCCAGGGAGAATGTCAGGTCGCATAACTCATTTGTTATCTTTACACAGAGGAGCTCCACTAAGCACCAGCCATCATAAAAATACTAACGTTCCTTTTTGTGGAAAACAAATATAAAAGAAAAACGCAGCATCTCTCTTACAAAAAGCCAGTTAGCACTTCAAAGATTACCACATGGTCTGTAAATAGCAATGTCAATACGCTGGGGAGCTGCACTCCTCTTTGTTTAATGACAGCCTGAGTTACTCAAATGGAGGTAGCAATGTTACAGGCCTTCCCCGTGACACAAAACTATATTGTGCATTCATTTAGACACACTCGTTGCATTTTATTTCCCTTGATGGCTTAAAAAATACCAAGACTTGGAATAGAGTACAAAGAGCATTTCAATCTAGCCTTATATAAAGCACTGCTTTCCTCTGGGCAGCATGCACCCAGCAACATCTACTTTCTATATACCATGAAGGGGAGTGTCAGGGAGAAAACTGCAGTAATTGAGGTCATGTCCTCTGTGTTTGTGACGAAACCCCCTCCCACATTTTTCCGTCATCCGTGGACACTTTCAGGTATTTACAGCTAGTCATTTTAATTATATCTAAATATTTATCTCCAGAGGGGCTAAATTAGTAGGTGTTTAATTCTATTGATGCAAACACCTAGTGGCTGGGTGCTCTCATTTGTCTGTAAATGTGAAACACAAGCCACTGAATTCATTCACGTGGCAAATGTCCACAGGTACCTCTGAGGTATCTGACATCCCACACAAAATCTGTGCTTCGCATGCTTAAACAGCTTGCTCTCAAGCTTTACAGGGAGGGAGGGAAGAAGGGCACGAGTTGTTTTGGTTTTTCTAAAAATCTCATTTGCAGTCGCACAGCTAAAGCTCAGAAATTAATAATAAAAGGGCGTGTGTGACAATGCAGAAACAATGCTGTTCAATGTCAAATACAAAGCAAGATGCAAATTTATTTTTCAGTTAATTAACCAAGCTTTCATCTCAACTGCTCTGATCTGTAAATACAGTTCACCAGCTAGCTTCAAACAAGTCTGGGAATCAAGCAAACAAAAACCCCCTAAACCAAAATACCCCAACCCAACAGTCTCCTAGCACTGGTTGGCTAATTATGTTTGCCTTTTTTTTATTCAGGGGGACCTAAACAGATTAAAACAGGTTAAAAGCAACAGTACTCTGGTGCTGGCCTAAGGGCGACAGCCCTCCTCTGAATACCACCAGCCATCAGACGCTGCCAAACGCTGCCAAGAACCAAGGGGCAACCCCGAGTATTCTGAGATAAGAATGGGAAAGGAAAGATGGACAGAAGGATTGATGGCAAGACAGACAGACAGAAGGACGGGAGAGAAGAAGGAACAAATGACTGGTCCCCAACACTAAATAACATTACATTCTCCTGCAGCTATGCCTAACCTCTAAGGATTTGCTTTCCAAGCTCTTTATTGAAATTGTTCAGGTCCTTAACTGATCTCCTGGGGGGCAAATTGCGGGGGGCTGAAAAGCCTTAAGCTAATTAAGCATGGCTGAGACATGCTTGATGAGATGGGAAAAACACAAACCTTTTGAAAGGGTGAAAAATCTCCGACCATCTGGTAGTGGCGTTGCAGAGAGAAGAAAGACGAAGGACAAAGGGGCAGCTCTCCGCAGCGGAGGTACAGGACTCCTTTAATTACTGGGTCACTGAGACCATTACTGCTCCAAATACCTGTGAAAGCCCGCGAAACGAGCTTAGGAGGCTTAGCAAAAACAACAGCTCTTAGCAAGAAAAGCATCCGCAAGTAAGCGAATCGGAGCAGCTTCCCCCATGGTACATCTGCTAATTAGAAATGATAGGTAATAGATGGGGACAACAAGGCCCCCAGATCAGAACGATACTTTTTCCAGCAACCTCTCTACCTCTCTCCTCCAATTGCTGTTCTCCAAGGCCCTGCAGATGGTGCTCGCTTTAAATTAATACCACCCCACCAGCCAGAAGGAAGCTTCTGTTGTACTTGGCAATACAGGTGAACAGCCTGCATTTAGGTTTCAAAATGAATGCCCCAGGTGTTTCATCAATATGGCAAGCAGCTGATGCGCTCCAGCCTCTTCAGGCCTGGTTAAGGCTCATCTGTGTTTTCCCGTCTCTAAGACCGGCTAGAGAAAATCACAGCGTTCAGAGGGCAAACTTCGCACACCGGAGCAAAATCTGAGCTATCTTTGCGCTAAATGGCTTTGTCAGACGCGAGCTGCGAATGTGCCAGCGTGATCGAAACGAGGAGCCCTCCCTGCCTTCTCCTCTCAAATGAGCTGGATACGCCTACAGCTGACTACAGGTGCAGGCTAGCAAAGAGCAAGCTGGTTTTGACACCAGAAGCTGTGACCAACCCCCTGCCAAAAAGCAGCGCTACGCTAACTCTTGCTTTGCGATGCGAATATGTGCAGCTGATTTCCTTCCCTCCCACACACAGATTCTTCTCCAATTATTTCGGTTGTGTGCTGTGATCCAGTCAGATTCGCAAGCTGCACAAGAGCAGGCTATATCCATCCTTGGATGGGAGACCTCATTAAAAGAAGGAAGCGGTACCGGCGATCTAACGCATTGCACTGCACTGCGCTGCTGTCTCCAGGATCAGATATAAAACCCGGGCCCTGACTACCTGTGGTTGTTAAATATCCCGTAGCAGTTGTGATAAGAACAAAGGGCATTAACCCTATTCTTTGCCAAATCTCGACAGGAATTTCTCTCCACTAGGCTCCCCTTGAAGGTTCATTTGGAAAGAGTTCCTCTCTCTTAAACTATCACACTTTTAATTCAGTACTGCTAAACATTGGCTGCATATAATGCCAGAGGGAACTGTTTCACAAGCAGATTCTGTGATCTCTGTATGTATCAGTTTCTAAGATAACTTGCATTCCTTTAGATAGGTACCGGATATATATGTATTTCTTATCATCTGCTTTTCATGCTCACACACTTCAAGAGCCAGCTGGATCTGCAAGCAGAACTGAATCCAGAAAATCTACTCCCCTCCACATCCGACGTAATGCTGGAAGCAGGCAATATTAGAAATACTGTTCAAGGACTTTTTTCCTTTTTCTTCCTTTTCTTTTTTAAGCAAACTTGCCCTTGTTGCAGGGCCAGGAGATTTAAAATCAAGCTTAAAAAGGATCCAAACAGTTGGACGCTTACCTGAAAAGCAGCTGTGATCCAGCTGGCCCTTGACGCTGTGGGGGGCCGCAGTACCACCGCGTGGTTACTGAGTCATGTGGTGTGGACCGTGCAGTTTGAGACTCAGGTTTATATGTGCAAGCAGATTTATGATGAGACAGACCTTAAAAAAATTGCTAGTTGTATAAAGTGAGGACAATAGCTGTACTTACTAAACACTGGACAGTTACTACCTTGGAAGACAAGATAAGACAAACAAAACCACAAAGGATGCCAGTTTTGCCACTCCAAGACCAGTGTGGGAGCTGTTAGCTAGACTCATGGAAAAGGAACTGTAAAATATCTGCTGGAGGAGGTGGAGGACCCAGAAAATGAGAGGACAACTCTGGTCTCTTTTGGAAGTCCAGCTTTGTAGACCAACGCAACCACCAGAGAGGAGCTCCTGATATCCAAAGAAAGGACGGGGTGTGCTGGTAGGGACCAGGCCAAGACTCGGTGAACACATGAGGTGAGATCATAAGAGCCGGGGGCCAGCAGACTCAACTGAGATCTGATTGCAGCAGCTGTGCAAAGCTTGCAGCCACGAGCATCCAAACCCAAATGAGGGAGAGGGACTGTGCTAGTGCTTACCATTGGCTTCGTACCCAGCTGATCAGAGCACAGCAGAAATAAATTCGAGTTGAAGCCCCTCTCCATGCTGGAAGGGGTCAAATCCTTACCCTCACCATCCTAGGCATCCCATGCAAGGTAGCTGTGAGGGAAAGCCCCTTCCATCCCTTCCATGCATGTACCGCCAACAAAAATGCATGACCTGTGGAACCCTTTCAACACTCAGGAGTAAGCAAAACAAAAAGCCATGTAGCTGCTGTACTTGATAGAGCAAGTCCTGCTCAGTTTTCCATCCTCTCTGGACCATCTGGGTCCTGGGCTGATGGAGGTGTCATGCTCAGGTACCAACACCCCAGAGATGGGGAGATGCTAAGACACAGCCCTGCTGACTCCCTCCCTGTTTAGTCTGCAAGCTTTTCTGCTAATTTTCCCTGTTGCCTGGACAGCTGGAAGAATCAGACAATTTAATTTCCTTGAATCGAGCTGCTGGAGTTCGGTACTGATTTTTCAGCACAGTGACATCTTATTTTGAAGCACCTGAGGTATCTCCATTTGTGCTCATTTGATGCTTTTGTGCTACATTTCAGGCTGACAGATCATACAAACACATCCAGTGAATGCGTTTTAACTGATGAAACACCTTGTAACCATGATAGCATTGGGCCACAAATTGGGAATCTCAATTTTTTCCAGCCACTGAGACAGTGACTTTGCCACCCTGACCCCTAACTGTATACCATTGTTAGCTGTAACCAGGGGGCAATGGAGAAAATATTATTGACTTTTTCTTTTCAGAATCCGGAACACATTTTAACTGATTTTCTATCCAGGTAAGAATGGTATAGCCTGTAAGTGACTGCTTATTTCCTCCACAGAGAAAACGCTGAACGTGTAAACATGCTGTCTTTCAAGGGCTGTCAAGTAATGTAGGTATTGAGTGTTTTTTGACAGGATGCTGTAAACGGAATAAAGGCATTTTTTGCCTCTGCAGTAGCTATGATTACTGGCAGAGCTATGCCCTTCACACTAGTGACTGGGGAATGAACAAACAAACAAACAAGGCTGCACATCTGCAATGGGGAATAATGAGACAAAAGGCTTACATGTCCCAACATTTCAGGGTAAAGATCCTGCACCAGTGAAACAATAACAAAGGGTGTTCTGTGGTTGAAATTTGCTGGCTGCAGAAAACTATGGATTTTAAAACTCAGGACAGAAGTCACAAGTAAATTCTGAATCTGGGAGAAAAATCCTTAATAACTGTTTGAGCAAAGAACAGCATGAGCAAAAAATCAGGTATGAACAGTTACACTATGAGCATCCCAGCATCTACCCAGGTAAGAGACAATGCCATTCTGTACTCTTCATATTTCTCTTGGATCTCTCAAACAAAACCAAGTGTTTGTGCAATTGCCCCTAGACTGTCTATAGCTGCAATGCAAAGTGCATTGTCCAGAGCACCTGCTTTGCTGGACTGGTTTAATTGCAGCTACGAACACATTCACAGCACACTGGAGTGCTCCAGGAAGGGATCTCCAGAGCTCATGCAAGACTCAAAAAAGGTGGTGTTGAACTTCTTGTTAAATAACAGGAAGTCCCAAAGAGCTGCACTCCTGCACTGATATGTTGAGATATCACTACTGCATGATTAAGATACAGGTGCAGTCACAGAGATGTAGAAGGCAAGATTAAATGCTAGCTTCCTTCCTGGCAGATAATTCACGCTGACTAGAGATAGGGTCAGCTTGGGCTGTTGGGCTAACACTATGGGCCAGGCATACTGGTGGTGACCTGGCACGCTGTACTGGGTTTGCATGGCAAGGTTTTGTTAGCTGGGGGGCTACAGGGGGGGCTTCTGTGAGAAGCTAACAGAAGCTTCCCTATGTCTGATAAAGCCAATGCCAGCCAGCTCCAAGGTGGACCTGCCGCTGGCCAAGGCTGAGCCCATCGGTGACAGTGGTAGTGCCTCTGGGATAACGTATTTAAGAAGGGGTGGAGGGGGAACCCTGCACAACCGCAGCTGAAGAGAGGAGTGAGAATATGCGAGAGGAAGAGCCCTGCAGACACCAAGGTCAGTGCAGAAGGAGGGCAGGAGGTGCTCCAGGCACCGGAGCAGATTCCCCTGCAGCCCCTGGTGCAGCCCATGGCGAGGCAGCTGTGCCCCTGCACCCATGGGGGCCCACGGGGGAGCAGATACCTGCCTGCACCCGGGGAGGAGCCCACGCCGGAGCAGGGGGATGTGCCCAAAGGAGGCTGTGACCCTGTGGGAAGCTCACGCTGGAGCAGGCTCCTGGCAGGAGCTGTGGCCCCGTGGAGAGAGAAGCCCAGGCTGGAGCAGGTTTGCTGGCAGGGCTTGTGACCCCGCGGGGGACCCACGCTGGAGCAGTCTGCTCCTGAAGGGCTGCACCCCGGGGAGGGGACCCACGCTGGGGCAGTTTGTGAAAAAATGCAGCCTGTGGGAAGGACCCACATTGGAGAAGTTCATGGAGAACTGTCTCTCGTGGGAGGGACCCCATGCTGGAGCAGGGGAAGAGTGTGAGGAGTCCTCCACTTGAGGAGGAAGAAGCAGCAGAGACGACATGTGATGAACTGACTGCAACCCCCATTCCCCGTCCCCCTGCGCTGCTCGGGGGGAGGAGGTAGAAAAAATCAGGAGCGAAGTTAAGCCCAGGAAGAAGGGAGGGGTGGGGGGAAGGTGTTTTAAGATTTAGTTTTTATTTCTCATTATCCTACACTGATTTGATTGGTAATAAATTAAACTAATTTCCCCAAGTCAAGTCTGCTTTGCCTGTGACAGTAATTAGTGAGTGATCTCTCCCTGTCCTTATCTCGACGCATGAGCTTTTCATTATATTTTCTCTCCCACGTCCAGTTGAGTAGGGGGAGTGATAGAGCGGCTTTGGTGGGCACCTGGCATCCAGCCAGGGTCAACCCACCACACACGCTCATCTGGAGGTGAAATGTGACGAAAGCCAACCAAGCAGAGGAAAACTGTTCCAGATGGCAAGATCTGCTCAAGAGAACGCTCACCTGTCAACCGCATTAGGAAAAGGCGAGGGGACAGAAAACCTGCTGCCAAAAAATTATGGGTAACAGGCAGAAAAAAGGAAGAGAAGATCCAGAGATATGAGGAAAGGGTAATGCTTCAAAGATCTGAATGAGATCAGGTGGGATTTTTCCTGACCATGTTCTGCAGCAGTAAGAAACAGATTTAATCTCAGTCAGGGTCATGCCTTATCAAGGTAACCTCCACTTTACAAGTGGTAGACACATCTTCCCCTTCCCTGTGTAGCAGTCCCTCCTTGTATAGCGCCGGCCTTCCTCTCCAAGCACAAGGAGCAAGGGCACCTCTAAAGCCACGGTGTACCTCCCCGGCAGAGCCAACATCGTGGGGATGCGCAGAAGAGAAAACAGAACAGAGCTGAATCAAAAAATGTGCCTCCTGACCCACCTGAGAGTATGCAGAGTGAGTAAATCCCACCCTTCTCATATGAGAACAAGGTTAACTACTCACCCACGCCACTAGGCACAACTAGAGCAATAAAGCTACTGAAAAAGAAGTGACAATGTCGTCCCCCTGCCCCCCCAAAAGAACAACCACGGGAACCTTTTGATTCTAGGACATACGCTGCTTTCTTTGATTTTGTTCCTGCTCTGTACTTCAAATAAAAGACAGTTCTCCCAAATCACCCCCCCCACTCCCACTGCTTGTGGTTTTTTCCACACTTAATTATGACTGCACTCCATTCACTCTATTTCATGAAAATCACTGGCTAAGTGCAGTTTCTTTCTCTGCTGCCCTAAGCATCTGGCCATTTGCATTTGTGAAATAGCTATAAAATAGCGCAACAACCTGCGCAGTGTGGCACGCTCTGCTTG